CCCTTTGCTCTATCTTTTTTACACTTAGCAGCTATTTTCTCCTGCTTCCAAGCAGGTTTTGGAAAGTGTTGTTATGCTGGCACACCCTGATTGCACTTGGTTGCACCAGTTTATAAGCCATGTTGTCCCCTGTCAGAGTACCAAAGCCTGAGCCTAAAAGGTGAAAACAGAATCTTGTGATATTCCTTCCTCTGACAATCCCTCTCTTGGGGCAAAGGTCCCAAGGCGTGAGGCTGTCAGTGTGACGCAGCTCATGCCCAGCTCACAGCCTGTGTGTGCTTCCAGCCCTGTCCTTGCAAACGTGCCCCTCCAGCACAAAGGAAGGCACGCCGCTCACTTGGCTCAGTGAAGGCACCACCAAGTGCTGCTGCAGAGACCTGTGTGCACAGATGGGAGCAGAGTGCCGTCCTGGCTTAGCAACAAGCTGCATCACCCCCGGCAGTCAGTGTCCTTTTGCTGCCCAGAAAAATGTCAGCTTTCCACCAGCCTGAAAAAAACCTACTGCTTATGAGGATTGCCATCAGCTCAACTCAGGGCTCTGTGGTTGGAAGGTGAATAGGAAACAGTGTAGGAGAAAGCCATCAAAGAGATACGGTCAGATCCCATTCCTACTTTGCACAACTCCATCTCAGTCCGTTCGAAATGCAGAAAGCAGCACCAGCTTCCCAGCAAGGAGGTGGGCTCAGCACAAAACCTGTGTGTGCCAACACATGGCTGTGAATGCAGCTGCTCTTCTCTCCTGTTGTATTTTCCAAGGAGTGAGTTCAATTCTGCTTTGAGAATTTCCTAAAAAACAACCAACCTCAGATTCCAAGTAGGATGCAAGTGAAATGATGCATGGTTGTTGTTGGCTGAGCAGTTTGCCTGGGCAGGACTGGGCTGCTAACATAAGTCCAATGAGACAGACGGATGTTGGAGGCCGCAGCACACCGCTGCAGTGTGACTCCTCTTCAGGAGCCTCCCTCCCATCTTCTGTGGGATGGAATTGATTTTAGCTGCTGGCAGCAAGAGATGGGATCCTCTCTGTGACCACCTCCAACTCGTGCAGGGTTAGCAACCATCCATCCTTTGCATGCACCCTGCCCCCAGTGTCCCACACCCAGCAGCAGCTCTGCCTGCCCGGCTTCCCGCAGCCCCCAGGGCTGGCTGGTGCTGCTGCCCGAGCTCAGCACTACAGAACTGATTGAAGGGTGCTGTGCTCTGATCGAAACTTCACCACCTGATGTCACTGGCATCATTGTAAACACCCTTGGGTGCCTGTGAGACCCCAAACGCCCCTCTGGGCCGCTGCTAACTGCAGCTCCTTCATCTTTGTACCCCTTGTTCTCATTTTAGATGTCAGAGATTGAATCCCAGCATAACCCCTGTGGGGTCGGTGAGCAGTAAAAGCCATCAGGGCTGCTGCTTGGCTCTGCTGACCCAGGGCAGAAGGAGCACAGAACTGGACACGACACCATTCGCTCCTATCAGACAGGGCCAAGCAAATTGCTGGCAGTTATGATTCAGCACGTCTTTGGTGCAGAGCTGCCGAGTTAAGAGTTTCTACAGCAACCCGCTTCCTCATGCATACGATGCTCTCTCTTACACGTGTTCCCAACCCTGGCTTTTAATCAGACAGTACAGCTAATATAGTGCAAATGAAGTGCACCTTGAGCTATGTGATGAATCTCACTTGCTCTTTCCTATTCCTTAGTCAGGCAAAAATCCCACTAACTGATCACTGATTCAATTTAAGACTGGAAAGGAAAATGGGGAGAGATTGCTGGAGCTGTCTGATGTTAGCAGCATATATCACCAATTTGCACGTATGCTTTTGTCACAACATAATGAGAATATCTATTGCAACAGCCAGCAAAGGAAGCATCCTGCTCTTTGAAAGGACCTGAAATCGGCATTTCCTGTGTTCTACAATTACTATGCAATATCCATCACCCCTTCAGACTGTTTCATCCCTAACTTTTAACTTACAAATTGAGATTAAAGTGGGACAGACAACCCCTCATCTTATTCTTAAGCAGCCACCAGGTTGCTTTTTTCCCATCACTACTGAAACCAGCATGTTTCCTGCCACAAGAGAGCACAAGGTGTATTTGGGTTTCATCACCAAAAAGGTCACTGGTCCTGCTTTGCTGGATGCTGGCTTGCTCTTATCATCTAACCACTGGTATTTTTTCATAGCTAGAAAGTTTGGGAACAGAAAAAGCCCAATCCAACTCCTAAATCATAGAATCACAGAATGGCCTGGGTTGCAAAGGAGCACAATGCTCATCCAGTTCCAACCCCCTGCTGTGTGCAGGGTCACCAACCAGCAGCCCAGGCTGCCCAGAGCCACATCCAGCCTGGCCCTGAATGCCTGCAGGGATGGGGCATCCACAACCTCCTTGGGCAACCTGTTCCACTGCCTCACCACCCTGTGTGAAAAAGTTCCTCCTCATATCCAACCTAAAGCTCCCCTGTCTCAACTTAAAACCATTCCCCCTTGTCCTATCACTATCCACCCTCACAAACAGCCATTCCCCCTCCTGTCTATACGCTCCCTTATCCTCCCCAGAACGTATCCTGTTTGTAAATGTATGCAGAGTGCTGTCAGCCAAGGCAATGTTCTGTGCTGGTAAGCTGGCCATGCTGGAAGACACAAGAGATGATCCCCAGGAAAAGGTCATGGCCACACTGCAAGTCATTCCTATGGTTTCCTGATGAGCACTGAGGAGAAAAAGGATGCTGGAAAGAAGGCATTCCTGTGGAATAAATCAGAGCCTATTCTGTGAAACTACAGCAGTATTACAGACCAAGCACTCGTGGCATTCATTGACTAGCAAGAACCATGAAATGAAACTGGGACTTCCCAGTTCTCCATTCCAGTAAATAGCAAGGCACGAATCTTCCCTGCTTTCACACCGTGGGTCCCTGCAGCAGAGCAATGCCACAGCCTGACAGTGGGGTGCAAAAAAGCACCTTTTCTACCAGTTTCCTCTTTGTCAGCAGTAGCTGCTTCTTCCAGTGCATGAAAATCTCCATTTCTACATTCACAGCAGCACAGCTTCAGTTCTGCCATCCCATTCCCTATGTCCACAAACTGCAGTGACTCCTGCATGGCCAAAGAACAGAGGGGCATCAGAGCCAACTCCCTTTTATTTAGACTACACTGACTGCAGCGTGCTGTAGTGCATGATTAGGGATGGACACGGAGCTCCTCTCACACACTGCCTGCAGACAGAGCTGTTTGCAAGGCATGCATATTCCGGCAAGCCAGAGGAATGTCCAGAAGTTTCTGCAGCTGCATTTCCGAGGCAGGTGGAAATTGTGCAGTAAGGTGAGGAAAATATCTCAGGTTGTCTGGTTCTGCAGAATTAAACAGTGGCCATTACAGAGAGTGATAAACTTGGGATTTCTGGGTAGGGAAGATAAGCAGAGGGAGAAAACCAATGGCCACGTTCACTTGAGTAAAGACATTGGCAGACAGCGGATTCCTTGTGAATTATTAACAGGGCAGGAGGGCTGAATGATTTCTCTCCAAATCAATGCAGAAATAAATAAATGAGTAAATGGAGAAAGCCCTGAAATCTGAGCCTTGGGGAGCGGAAAAGGAACAACTTAGGAATTCAGGAGCTGGACTTCCCACTTCTAAAAACAACACAGAAAGAGACGGTGAGGTTGTGAGCATGGGAATACAACCCTATGCTATTCATTGACTTTTAAAAGCTGAAACAGAGCCATTGGTTCACTTGTATGGAGCAGATCCACACTGCCAGTATGAAGGAGCAGTTCCAGCTCTGCCTCTCTTCACTTAATCCCAGGATGAGTAATTCAGATGGGTTTCTGCTGAGAGGAAAGGAAGTGTTGACCAAGAGGCTCAAGTTTAAGGGAAATAAATTCATGTTGAAGGCAATTTTCCACACGTAAGTTCTGCCTTTTTACCTGGGGACACATCTTTCCAGCTCCAGAGCAAACCAAATGAACTCCCATACCTTAGAAGAACTTTCATGCTGGTTCAAATGGGATTAGAACTTCTGAATCTAGAATGTTCTGAGAGTGATGCTACATCTTTATCAACTCAGAATGTTTCTATGCTGGCACTCAGATCTCCTACGATGCACCAAAATAACCTTTCCCAGTTCTTGACTCACACTATAGATATGAAATCCTCTGTTCTAAAGAGGCATTTCAGGAAATGCCACAACACCACTCACTGGTGTGCAAAAAAATATTAGAATCTGGAAAGAAAAGGCACACCTTCAGCTTTTGTGGAGCATCACAGCAGGAAAAGCCTGTTTTAGGAACCTCACTGCTTGAACTCCTTACTTCCAGGTGAAATCTTTGCTGAATGTGGCCCAGCAGAAAGAACTGCAATTGAAGAGCTAAGTAACATCAAGCCACAGAGTCAGGGGTGCGAAGAACACATCAAAGAGCAGAGGAGCTGACAGGCATCCTCACCCAGGAGAATGACCTCACCATCCAGCTGCACGCTGACAGCTACAAACAGCGGATGGTTAAAGGCTTAGCACTGAGTTAGGCAGAGCATCAGGTTTCATAAGAGCCTCATTTGGAAAGCAAAAAGAGCATATGGGGATGATGCATAAGATCCACAGGCAGCCTGACTCCCTTAAATGCAGTTAAGTTCTTAGAACACAGGAGAATGAGAGGCTCCATGGCTAAAGAAGCAGAGCTGCTCTCATGAGTCCTGAGCTCTCTTTCTGGTCAACCACTGATGCCCAGCTAGGAGTAATGCAAATCAGGTGTCAACTTGTTGAAGAGTGAGTTCTTATGGTAAGGAGATGTATGTGTATCTAAACAAAACTCACTGCTTTGTGCTCAACACTGGGAGGCTGGAGGCTTAACACTGGGTGACCTGGAGATTCAGATCAATTGCAACAACAGTTTTATTAAAGAAATCACAGAATCACTGAATGGCTGAGGTTGGAAGGGAGCTCAAGGATCATGAATCTCCAGGCCCCCAAATCTTTAATAAATCTTTAATAAATCTTTAATCCAACCCCAAATCTTTAATAAACTGCACAAAAGCAGCAAACCCACTTCTTGCAAATGGAGGCCTGCTGCTCCCACAGGCAGAAGGTGTAGCAGGTATGCAGGATGAACACTGGATTCCCACCTCTTCAGTAGGAATGAGAGAACTTGCTGGGTGCTGAGCTGTGCCCAGGCCAAATGATGAGAGCAAAGATGGACAGTTCTACTGAGCCAGAGCCTGGTGATGGAAGCATTGCCCTGAGCAGTGCCAAGGGGTGTTGGAGGACGAGCTCAGCAACTTGAAATTCTGCTTGAAAGGGCTGGAGACCACCTTTGCCTAAAACTGAGAAAGAAAAGCAGACATGAGGCACGACAGAAGTTCTTTCTTACTCATTCTCCAAGGAAACGAGCCCTGACAACCATTACAGCTCCTGTCAGAGCACCCTTTGGGACGCTCAGATTCACTCAGTTCATTTCTCCACTTTCTGATATTGTTTTCCAATATTTGATACAACCTGAGGTGGATTTAATTCTATGCTTCACTTTTTTATTTTTACCCTGGCAGTAATATTAATTTCACAGTAATTTCTAGGGATCCCTCTACGTAAAGACAGCAACACCTCTTTATTAATTCTTTATTAATTACACCCACCGCTACATGGCAATACTGATAGGTCTACTTACAAAATGCCTCCTCTACAGCTACACAGCTCCTCTCCATCCAGTCTGAGGAATGCTTCTCCCTCTCCTGCACTTAAGCAGGTTTTTATTTAACGTAACTAGAGAAGTTTTCAATCTGCACTGTAGCAGCCACGTGGCTGCCTGCTGCTTTTCCTAAAGTAAGCATTAACATCCACAGGATGTCAAACTCACAGATTTTAGAATTTATTAACTGAATCTCAGATTCTCTCTAAAGTAATAGACGTTGCCACTGACATTTTGTCCTGATGCTGCAAACTGGTTGTGTGATCCATAGAACTTGTGTGATGTTTGCTTTCCTGTCTGCAGGCATTAGACCACAGAGTTCAAACTCTGACTTCAGATCTCTCTGCTCAGAATGACTCAGTCCCTCAGCTCCAAAAGGAAAGGAGAGCTTTGGAGGAAGTTCATCAGGCAGAAATAACTACTCCATTTTTCTTTGCTCTCTCCCATTCTCCCAGTCTGGGAGAAAGAAAAAAATCATTGTCTGCTTGCTTAGATACTGCGAGACTACAGTTTGCTCCACAAACAGGAAGGCGGCTGTGTTTTTCTAGGTATTAACTTATGGCAGCACAGTGAAGTGCTGCCAATTTGTACCCCTGCCCAGAGAGCGATGTGAATTGCTGAGAGTGAGCTAGATTCTTCTGAAACACTCCGTGTTGGACCGAGTCCCCTGAGATCTATTGAAAAATGCACATTCAAAGCTCGCGTTGCTTTCAGGAGGCACCTCAGATGAATGTATTTTTCTGTTCATTTTCAGTTTATTAAGGACAGTGTTGGTTTCTTATCCACTTCTATGCACCAGCCTTGGTGTCTCCCCTCCTAGAAAATTGCAAGGGAAGGAAGAGGCGGTAAGCCCACTGCCAGGAACAGCAGCAAACTTACCACACATGGGGTGTATTTACAACTGACTGTTTCTTCAATGGTCCCATGCAGTCTGCTTTTGAAACTTCAGGCCCTTCTGACACCCACTGCTGATTTGTGTGCTTCAGAGTTATTGATAACATTGATAACATTGATTCCACGCTTTTCAGTTAGCTGGAGGGCAACTGGGAATGAGAAAACATCCATGGTAAGGCAGAGAAGCGTTGTCATAAAGCAGAGATGACCCCAATACTACAATTGATGACCTCCATGAGATGGAACCAAACTGACCTTGGCAGACACTGCAAAGAAGTGGCAAGATTAAGGGAATTCTCCAGGGTACAGAATCCTACTGAGGGCAGTTGTGCTACATCACAGCTCTGACAGCATCAGCTACACCTGTAAAGTTGCTGAACTAGAAATCACAAAGGAAAATCCACAGTCATGCCTTGGCCTTGTCAGGAGTAACACAATGACAAGCACAAGTGCAGTTCAGCTGCTCAGGTAAACCAAATCAGAAATACATGGTTCTGTTCCCAAGTTTTTCTCTGACTCATTGTCTGATATTTGTCACTCATCTTCCACAGTCACCCACGTATAAAGCGTGTATGATCACTGGGAAGTGATGAGGATTAACTGATTCTGTGTTTATGTAAGGCCTTATGATCCTCAGATAAAACTGCTTTAGAAATGCAGAATATTATCACAAATTAAATTTATTTTAGTGTCATCATCAATTACTTTTGTGATGGGTCTGCCAGCACTTCTGACAAACCTCCCCATAGAAATAAGCCTTGCAGAATACATATTTACAGCTCTATATTATCCAAACTGCTGATCTATCTGGTTGCCTAACACAACATGTAAAACCATGAATAAACACTGGCATGATTTGCTAACACAAATCCTAACAGGAAGCTTTTAGTGAGTACAGGTTACCTGTGCTTTAGAGCAGAGCCATTGGAAGTCTTAAACACAGATGGAAACAAAAGCATGAAGTGCTGATGTTTGTGCTTCAGACCATCCAGCTCCTCGGGGTGCCAGCACCTCTACTTACAGACAAGCTGATGATGGGGCAACAAAGAGCTCCAACAAAGGGCAAATGGATTTTAGGGCCAGAGACAGAACACCAGGTTCTGCTTTGCTCTGAACAAAGATTAACCAGTTTGCTACAGAGAGGCAACACGTCAGGTGACTTTCCTTTCCTTAACACACAGCAGCCTGCTCATGCAGCTTTATCTTTTTGATAAGATTGAGGTGCATAGAAGAACAACACAGACCTTTTAAACCTACCCTGATAAAATGGATTCTGGAGCCAATCTCTCTTTACACTTTTAAGCAACAGAACCAGTTGAGATACGGGATTTGTCTTTCCCTATGTAGAACTTGGCCTTTTTGTCTCCCCCTATAGCAGCTCCTGCAAGGTACTGCTCCACTCACCACAGAAGGGAAGGTGGTAAATAAAACCAAAAATGGGAGCACAGCTCAAAGTGCTGCCATTCTGAAAGCAAATGTTTTTCAGCTGGCATATTTCGGTGCCCGAATACTTAATCAAAGCCTCAGTATTTCTACAACAACATCATGACCCACAAACCTGGGTCTGCAGCTGTTTCTATGGACAAGCACCTATTTCCCTCAAGTAACCAAATCAGCTTCATTATTTCCCCAACTGCCAGATTCCAACACAACAGAGCAAGCTACTGATGCTGCACATAATACCAGTTGACTACTGAGACACATGGCCACACCTTTCCTGTTTCCTTGGCTAAGTATTCCCAGCTGTAGGCCTTTCCCAGGAAAAAATAATCCTGTAGACCTGGCAAGCACGTAGGAGGGAGTGAAGAAATAGAGGCTTGTTTGTATCCACACAAGTTTATCCTGCATCTCTCAGTCAGAGACACTGCTGTGTTTCTGCTGCACCCTCCAGGCCCTTATACTGAAGGGCTGGAAGGAAAGATAGAAGCTGGGAATGCTGTAAGAGCACAGATAACAGTGTCTTTCTAAGAAACAAAGAGCTTCTCTGGGGAGTGATTTTACTTCTGAAAAGATCTAAAGGCGTTCAACTGCTAATGAAAAACAAAACTCCCCATGGAAGAGTTGGAAGATAGACACTTGAGCTCTAGTTTCAGCCCATGCAGACTTAGTGCTACAAACCGGGAGTGCTGCTCCTTTCACAGAAACCTCAGAAGCAGCCACAGGGGCAGCCCTACGCAGAGCCAGGGTGCAGCAGGCTGGTGAGAGCTGGCAGCCCTCTGTGTTTCACCCATCAGGCCACCCCACCCACTGGTCCAGTTCTATGGTGGTAGATTTACTCTAATAAATCCTCTGCAAATTGCCGGGATGCGGATGTTAAATATATAATCTGATCTTTTAACAACGGGAAGTCCTGAAGATAATTGAGATCCAAAAAGTTAATATTTTAATAGAATGCTCTGAACGCAATCTAATGACTAATATAATTTAATAATAACTAACATTTCCATTTCAGTCTACAAATGCTAGCTAGCCAATTCTCAACCACATCAGGAGCTAGGTCAGCGTTGGACACCTCATGCAGCCAGGAAAACAGCTAGAGTGACAAGAAGTAACAGTGCTCCTTAAAGCACTCACGGGCTCCTCATAGGGAATAAGAATTTCTTTCCCTCTTTCCCACTAGGTGGAGAACCAGGGAAGGGATCTGCATCATGATCTTATGGATCTCAACTCCTTGGAAAGACACCGGTGTTACAACAGCTGCACCCAGGCCAGATACCTTCAGCTACACCTGAACATCTTGTTTCTTTCTTCAGAGAATGAGGCATCACTGGGACTCTCCATAGAAGTTTCTTCAGCAGCTTCTCTAGGCTCCTAAGCAGGGCAGACCTGACCCAATCTTCCCCTCACGCTGTGGACCTTGGAAGGAGTTAAAAATAAATAAATAACAAACCAAAACAACAAAAACACGAAACCCACAAGGCTCCACGAATCGGCTGGGAGCTTTGCCATTCCTCTAAGGTTGAGCAGAACTGATCAGAGGTTTGTTAGAAAGTTGCCAATTCAGACACAGACAGTTAAAAATAAAGCAGAACTGTTCAGTCTATTTTCTGCCGTTTTGCAAGGGAAATACATGATCTTCAGTCCAAAGAACAACTGTGAGTTTTAGCAATGAGGTGTGGAGACGGTTAACTGTTCTGAAAGATGCTAACCCTGTAGCACAGTAGCACCAAAGATGGATATGAGTCAGATAAAGAGCCTAGAAGGCTAAATAAAAGCCTTGCAGAAGCCTTTCTTATAAAGCACCAAGATCCACAGCACCAGGCAGATGTGAGCCAGCTGATACCGCAGAGCAGCCATTTGCAGGCTGATGCCAAACACTGCCCACAGTAACTAATGAAACAGGCATCTCCCCTCTCTATAGATCAGAACAATTTGCACTGTCCCTGCCTGCTACAGTCATCTCATTATACCTACAACCAACGGGAATAAACTCAGTGTGCAGGGGAGGGAGGATACTGTAGCACTTCAAGCCTTACTCAGCATCCTATGACTAACCATTCTAACAGTTGGACTCCGTTGCTTATGCTCACGAGCTGGAAGATAACCTGTCTGAAGCCAATGCCCAGCTGGTTGAGGTGGAGAAAAGCCCAGCTGAAATGAATGCCATCAGGCTCCAAGGTAAATTCCCTGATAGCTGTGTGCAACATCACCAGCCCTCTGATCCTCCTCTTCCCCTGTGTTCCACAGAACTCTGGCAGCTCTGCCTCCTTTACCAAAACTGCCCAATCCTTCTGGTGTTCTCTTTTCTTTCTTCAATCAGGTGGAATTAGTTCCTCTCCTGCCTCTCTGTGCACTTTTTCTCCTGCAGCTGAAAGCAGCCAGCTGAGCACAGAGCACAAGGTCTGATGGAGATTAATTAGGTTGTCCACATGAGGCGTATGACCCCAAGAGGCAAGTAGATGAAAAGTTAAGGGTACTGGTGACCGCCAAGCACCTTCACAGCTTGCTGCTGGAGTAGGATATGCTCTGCCTGCTCTTTGCTCACTGTCCACTTCAACAAATCTCTTATTGTTTCAGCTCTCACAAGGGAAAGTTTTCCTCATCTAAATCTCTGGGCTGTTACCAGCTAATCTTGGTAAGGGCACACAGGGCATGAGCATCATGAGATTCTTATGGAGGATACGAAGATAACCTCTCATGAGCCAGAAGCAAAGAGCAGAGGTGTGTACACCTCCTCATTCTCAGTCCACTGCTCAGTGGATTGCACTGCAGTTTATTTGCATAGGTCACACATGTCTGACTCAAAATGTATCAGCATTTCATGTCTCTGTCTGACATGCCTGTCCTGGAAATTTTTCTTATCTCCAAAGAATAATTCTAGAGCTGCACCTGCATATCAAAAGCCTGGCAAGAATTCTCCACGTTCAGAGCAATCACAAAATGGGTTTACTGCTGTAATTCTTTTGAAACACTTTCAGAGAAAACAGTGATGATGACAAGCCAAGTTCTGCTTTCAGTTATATGAGCTCAATTCAATTCACTGCAGCACAGCAAAAACAAAACAAAACAAAACAAAACAACCCAGCAGCAAAACAGGTAAGGAGAGCAGGCACTTGGCTCCTGACCAGGAAGACATTCTGAAATGTTTCTAGCTAGTCCAGAACTAAGCTGCTCAAGAGGAGCACTGCAGCTTGGGGAAGCGAGGTCAGTGCCTTCATACTTCCAACAGGAGAACAGTGCAGCCATTACCATTCATCCACATCAATCAAATTCATCTGTACTGCTGCTGGGGTAAGACTGGCTAACACCAGGAATCATTTGGAGGTGATAAAAGAGCAGTTGGAAGAGGAGGAAGAGAACAAAATTGAAGTTTGGTGTCTGGTCTCTGAACTCAGTACTGAAATCACAGCTTTCAGGGAGAAGACTTAGGGTACTCTGTTATTCATTTTGGCTGCTGGATCACAGTTTGTAGATGTGATCTGTTAGGACTCATTTTTGTAAGACAAAGAAAAGAGAATACTCCCACCAAGAAGAACATTTGCAATAATAGGGACTACTGAGACCTAACTCTTGTATGCTGGCAACAGCAAACCAATGCTGCACCTTTCCAGTAAAGGCTTGAAGTTGGACAGCCTTTCCTTACTCCAACAGGAACTTTACTCTTCCAGCAGCCTTACAAAAGCCACTAGCATTTCCTGAGAAAAAAGAATGCACCCAAATCAGATTAAAACTCCTTGAAATCTGCTCCTTGAGATCTGGTGTGGGCAAGAAGGCAGTCTTTTAACAGTATCCTTCTAGCAGAGCTAACAGAGGTGCTTTCACATAGCAGAAAGAGAAGTTAAGGCACCTGGAGGGCTTTAACCATGTGCCCGAGACAAGTCGAGACAAAATAAGCTGTTCTATCTCTGCCTCAGTCCCATAGTCAGTCACAGGGAGTGGAGCTACACTGACATTATTGCTGTCCTGGAGATTCCTAAGCAGAAAGTGGAAGGGTCTAACACCAGGTAACAACCCAGCAATGAGGAACTGAGCTGCAGTCCAGAACGGTGTTTGTATCTGGGGAGGGGAAGAGCCAGCCACATCCTAGTCATGATTTTACAGTCACTTTTCTGAGATTGCTTTCAGGATTACTGGTGAAAATAGCAATAGTGCTCAAGGAGATGACTGCTGCTGACTCCCAGAACTCCTCACTCCATGAACTACTGGGTTATTCCTGCCCCCATTCCTTTGGGACAAAGTTGGCTGGGAGGTTCCAAGAAGCGAAGCAGACAGCTGAATCAGTCCAAGTCTGCACAGGCAGCTCTAAGCAGAGGCTTCAGACCAAAGTGAAGCACCTCACTCTTGACCTGGAAAAGGCAAGAAATTCATCCATTCAAGAACACATGTACCACAAGCCTGAGCAGCAAGACTTGGTGGTGGAAGCCCCAGGAGCCAGCTATGGGCTGATCCCTTATTTCTCAATACTTGTCTCTATCAAATATCACTGTAATCTGTATGACCAAGAGAAGAAAGGCAAAGCTGAGCCACAGCTAATTCTTAGGAGCACGCAGCATGCTCCTCAAACTCATTAGCTGTCTTCCAGAAACAATAGTGCAGCTGAAGTAAAAGCCCTCCTCAGCAGCAAGGCAAGGTATTCATTGTCTTTTTAAGGATAATGAGATCCTGCTTTGAACTCTCCAGCACTGCAGTACCAGTGGGTTGTTTCACCATCACTGCCTTTAATGAAGCAGTTCTTTACTCTTCAGTTTGTGGCGTGCTTATCACCATGGTACCTGACTGCATGTACTGATCATAAAAATACGTAGAATATTTGTGATTAAAAGCTCCCAGGAAAGAAAAAAATGTTCCTTCGTTCCCTTCATGACAAGCCATTAAACAGTCTGGAATAGCCTTGAATAACATCTTGTTTCTAACTGAATCTTCTTTGAAGCAGAAAGTCACACTAATCAACCCAGGCAATTACTAACAGCACATCTGCACCATGAATATCTGAAGTGGAAAACATGTGCTCCACAGCAGCATCATTATAACAGCAGGAGCAAGGAGGACTATCACACTGATGGGAACTGGGGGAGCTTGTTAAATTCCTAATGGTGAGGAAAGAAAGCCTTGTAAACATTTTAATCACCCATTCAGAGCAACCAAGAGAAACTCTGCCAGTCACTACAGTGGGTGCCAATTTAACTGCAACTAGCTGGCAGGACACAGAGAAGTGAAGTGTAAAGAAAACTTGTGTCCACTGAATGCTTGGCTTTATCTTTCCAGGCCAATGCTGCTTCTGGAAGAAGGAGAGAGCCTTTAAGAAGATGCTGGCAGAATGGCAACACAAAAATATGAAGAGCTACAGGTGGAAGTGAATATTTCCCAGAAGTATGACTGAATGAGGCATCTCCAGGCATCAGTTGCAAGGATGTCACATGAACTCCCTTACTTGCTATACAGGGAGACAAGCTGCCTTGGCTTTTTTTTTTTTTTTTTTTTTTTAATAAATAAAAATATTCTGTAAATTGTAAAAATTGATCTCCTCCAAGAGGCTGAAAGATGACACTGTCAATATTTAAAGATGCAGATTTAGAATCTGCTGTCCCTGCAGCCAAGAGAAAATGGAGATGGAGTCCCTGGCAGAGACCCAGCACTTCCTGGGCCGTCTCCCCCAGCCCTTTACTCTGGCCTACATCACCTGGCAAAGTGCCTCATTCTGTTGCATAGAGACAATGTGGAATCCTATTTTCATTTTGTATGAGCAACCATCTGAAAATAGGAGAGGAAAAGACTAGGCTAAAAACTGGAAAAAATTTCTCGTGATGTAATGGGCTTCACTCTTCTGCCTCCATGATCACATAGAGCCAGCAGGGCTCATTCAGAAATCCAGGATAATATTTAGCAGTGAGAAAAAGGGCAGCTAATGTGAAGTGAATGGAGCCATTTCACACCATTTCTATTCAAAGAATCTGTTTGGCACACTCGGTAAAGTTCACAGTCCTGAAATAAACCTACCACATGAAATATCCGTTTTCTTCCCTGGAGGAAATTAAGGATCTAATCAATCAGCTGAGGAACAGAGGGCACCACGTTCACGAGCTGCAGAAGAAGATTGAAGACTGATCAGGATGAACTGCAGGTGGCACTGGAGGGATTGCCCACATTGCACTGGGTAGATTCTGTACTTTAAATCCCACAGAGCACCTTTGTTTGTTCTTCTGCTGCACCTCTCCTTACAGGTTTGCACTCAGCTTGAACTGCTTCAGGTTAGAGCTGAAACTAGATAGAGATCAGAAGAAGGAAGAATCTGAAATAATCAGGTGTAGCAATATGACATTAAGTTACACGCCAAAGCTGCAGCAAGATTTAAGGTAAACACTTGGTAAGTTTCCTATTGTAGGGGGAATCACTCCTGGGACAAGATGGTCTGGAGATCATGAAGCCTCCATTACTGGAAGTTAAGTACAGTCTGGTAACATGCCCTGGTTTAACAGAGATAACCCCCACTTTAAATAGATTTTTAAGATGACTTCTTGAAAGCTCTATGTTTTACAATAAAGTAGTCATAGTTTGGTGCAAAATCTTAGTACCTCAGTTTAAAACAGGCTTAGAAATTGACTGTTTTTATTACTTGGTGAGCAATAATTTGATACAAAGGCTGGATTAGATTCAACATAACAGAATGTTGTGCCATATGCTTCACTGCACTCTGCAGGAAAATCACCAGCATGCAATTGAGTCTCCACAGGTGAGTCTGGAAACTGAATCAACAGGACATGCTGAAACTCCCAAGCTTGAGGTGAAACAGACTCAGACAAAATGGAAATCTGAGGGGATTGTGCCAACAGTGACAATAATGAGCTTGTCAAGATGCTGAATCAACTGCAACAGAACGTCAAGCTAAACTGCAGAAGGTGCAAGCAGGACCCTGAACAAAAAGCGTGCCAGTTCTATCCTACACCTTAAGCAATAAAGTAATAAATTATGCACTCTTGTTTAGACAACTTGAATAAATTGAGAATTTATATTCATTAGTCCCAGCTCTCCCACTCACACCAATTTCAATCTGCAGCAGTTCCAACAAACCTTATACAAGATAAGCATTACTATCAGCTTTTCTCAAATTAGAATCACATTTTTGTTCTGATCACATACAAGGGCTGTTTGCATCAGCACAGCCACAAAACTGACCAGGACCTCACCGAGAGTAAAAGCACAGAGCTTCCTTTTCTTCCAGAAGGGAAAACTCAGAAAAAGGGTGACAAAGCTAAACTCTGCTGGAACAGTAATACATTGCTGCCAAAAATACAATTTCAGTAACTGAAAGAATAACAAGACTCTCTCTCCCCCCTCGTGTGTGCACACACATACACCAGCCTAACTGTCCTCTGTTACATCTGTCTCAGTCAGGAGAGCCTCTCACAGAGCACGTGGCTACAGCAACTGCAAACAGGCACAAATGATAGCAGGATAAAGCACTGTTTTTCTGTTTTGTTTTTTGTTTTGTTTTAATCTGGCAACACCTGAAAGAAAAGCCTTGCAAAGAGACCTCCTACATCTTTCAGCTTCTTCTCTGCTCATTATTTTCTCTTTCACCTGCTTTCGAGAGGTTTAGATTCAAATGGATGAAGATGCTTACCAGCATGAGCAAAGCTGCAGGAACAACTCCTCAGAACACTACTGACAGAACTGGAAGGAGCACAGAATGCCCAGAGAGCAGTGGGTGCATTCCCAAACTCCTGCAGAGTGGAGAGACGTAGTGAAAACAATGGCTATGCACAGAGGTTATTTATGCAAGAGCTATTGTGACAGTTTACATGCAGGTGGTTTAACACTCAACCTTAACTTTGAGTAGGAAGGGAGGATTAGGCCAATAATGGACAAATGTAACACTGCTCTATAAGGAAATTCTGTGGAACCTGAAGGGCTCAGTCGTTAGAATAATTATACTGATGGATGGCAAGACTTTTATCTATTTTAAACAAAGTCTGGACTATCTTGGCTCAGCTTTGCTCCTAGCAAGGCCTAGCAGATTTGGTGGAAGACGTAAGACAGTGCTGAGCACTCCTGAAAAACCTGCCTTAAAAAGGGCAGTATTAAATTCTGCCTGCACTGAAATTGTAGTTTTGTCAGTTGTTTCCATGGTGCTGGGACTTCTCCATGGAATGCAGCCCACAGCCACATCTACTTCAGTGAAATTTTAGGCATCTTTGCGTTGTATGAAACATCATAGCTGCCATTTCATTCCGTGCACAGACCTAAGGAGCTGTTTTAACATTCACCACAGTCTGCAGTTCATTTCCATGAAGGATAGACCACACATACAAACATCTGCAAGGAAAAGAATACAAGTTCTGGAATGGACTGACACCACGAGAAGCATTTCTCAGCTGCAATTCTGGGACATCAGTTACAAGAACTGAGTCATAAATGCAGCTGTTATTCAAATAGGTTAGAAACTCAAACAATACATTTACCTGCAACTGACTGGTGATTAAAGATGCATTTTTAGCAGGTAAACTGCAACCTCCATACCAAATTCGGAGTTTTAAGCTTTGTTAATACAAAACCTGTATAGCACAGAAGTTATGCAGCATTGTAGAACACAACAGTACATTTACTTGATGTCCTTCTGCTGAAGAGCAGTGTGTTGTTAGAATGCAGTCTTCCTATTAAAGCCCTTGTAGTTCTTCTTCCTTAGAGTGGGGCTTATTTTTTATTATTATTATTATTATTTTACAGCTACAAGAGTCTTCCAGTGATTCATATCAGTAAGCACTAAACAAGCCATGGAGCTCACACTTTCCATGAGATAAAAAGACACACATTGTAAATTCTGGAGCAGAGACTATATTTGTTTGTTGAGATTGCAATCAAACACATTTTCAGTCAGGTCTAAAGCCAGCTGCTGCTACTGCAGCTTAACTTTGAAATAAATAATATTGGTTTATATACTCAAATCCATGTACACAGATATCCAGCAAAACAGACTCAGACTCGAGGACTTTGTAAACAGCAGGGTCTATTTCTGCCTCAGAGGTGCATCATCATTTTAGCTTTCAGTTAGCATTAAGGTAAATACAGAGGTCCTAATGTTCCACAACACAGATACAGTGGGGGTGAATCCCAGTTGACTTAGTAGTGCACAGTTTTATAGAGAAAAATAAGCTACTGAAAATTAATCCACAAATCACTTAATGAGACAAACGGAAGCCCCAGAGGTGAGCATTTAACATTCTGGGAATCCAGGACTCCTTTATTTTCTAGAAAGAATCTGCCTTGATTTTTACTACACTACTAACAAGCATGAGGAAATCATCCCTGAGCACTGAAACGCTGATGAGAAAGCAAAGAAAGTTGTGGCTGATCCAAGTTACCTCTCCACCCTTCTGCCCTTTATATTGGTAAATGGAAAATACACCCTAAGGCTTCCAGCATTTCCCTCCTGCATCTATTGGAAGAACACTGTTAATAACACGTTAGCACTTGCTTTGCTTTTTACAATCCTGAAAAGCAGCATGCTTGTTAGCTCACCGATTGCAGTCTGGCAAAATTAATCCACAGAAGAAGAAATCTACTTTCCCTCTGTCTCTTTGGTAATTTACACGACAGATGGCACCCTGAAGAATTCCTCCATTTCCTCTCTCTTTATCCTTTCTTCCACTTATCCCACAGCTCCACCCATCACACTTACCAGGTCTCCAACACAAGAGGAGGCTAGTTTCCCTCTCTAGATAGTCAATGACATTCGTCATTGGCACAGAGGAGAGAAAAGTTGCCAGTACTGAGCAGATTGCTCCATTGGCACTGTGCTGACAGCTGACACTTCAAGTATCAAAGCTAGATGTGGGTTTAATGCATAGCATTTCCTCCTCAAGTAAGGATAAGTGTCCTGCCTTTCTGTTTAAGGCCACCTCACCTTCAGACAATATCTTCACCTTCCATCCACTGCACGCCCCCAAGTCACATTTTTCCACTGAAGGGTGGACATCAAAGCCTGAAATGTTATTAGAACAAAGTTATTGACTTAACAGATAGGGATAATACCTTTGAGTATTCTGAAAGTATTAAGCAAGCACACCACCACCTGGTTTATGGTCTGACCTAGCGCTGCCCAAGTCAGCTGGGATTACCTCCATCAGTTTGGATCCAATCTATAGAAAGGCAGCCAATGATAAAGAAACATTAAAGATAAGGCAAATTTTCTCAGAGGGCAGCATCCAGGTCTACACATCCTACTTTTCAATACCCTGTACAAATAGCTGCACTGTCCATCTGTTTCATACCTTCCTCAGAAGCCTCCCGCGTGGCAAAAGAGCTGTGTCAGGAGCAGGACCACAACACGCACCTGGCAAATATTAAGGAAATAGTAAATTGTAAAGATCTGTAAATCAAAATTGAATGGGCTGAGTAGTCAGCCCTGGAAAGACAAAAAACTACCATGAAACTCCAGGGTAAGAAAAAATGTGCTTGGTTGGAATGAGCTTTCTAGTAGACTTGTGCAACTACAAAACTCCTTCCTGCACCTGATCTTCCACATTCAACAAAACTAAATGAAAACATCCCATTTCAGATAACAGTTAACATGTACCAAAAGAAATGTACTAACTTGAGGAAAGCCAGACTGGGCAGAAAAGATGCTTGTAGGATGCTCCCAGTCCACTGGAGCACAAGGGAATTTCAGCTCTCTGCACCCTGAGCAAAACATATCAATCAACCCTCATGGTGCTTGAATACAGCAGTAACAAGCTACTGGTATCAGCAGCTGATCTACACCCACAAAGGAGAACTTGCAAAGTGAACTATCAGCAGTGGCAGGACTTACCCTTTATTTTTGTGTTGCAACAAAACTCAAGAGCATGAGCATCTCCAAACTCCTGGGGTAGATACCATCTTCCTATTTCTTTTTCTGATCCTCATATCAACATTTCAAATCCCTTCTGTGATTGTGTATCCTGCTGTTCCTTTTCAGATTAAGTAATGGATACAGAGCTATCCTCCAAATAGAAACACGACGTTCTTCTGCAGGATTTTCAGTCTGCACAAGAAGCCTCTAAAGGAGGTGACCTTCCATAAAAGATGACAACAAAACCAACCAGCATGCAGAACTAGAACGGCTGGAGAAGCTGCAGAACTGAAAACATTGAGAATTGAAGCAGCTGTTTATATCTCCTGCTCATTGCTTCATCACATAACTGTATCTTGTTGATCTGCTGAAGGATCACATCAGACATATCCTAAGACACTTTTTTTCCAGCGCAAACATTTCTCTTGTTAAATATTTGCTGGTCCAGGAATAGGAGGATGACCAAAGCCTGTCCAAGTACAGGAAGACCATACACAAACTAGATGGCAGAAGAAAGGGGTGGAACGGCCAAAACAGCTCTAACTGCACACCAGGAATCCTCAGCCAGCAAAGGGTTCGCTTCTGGAGAGATACCCAAGTGCCAAACTCCTCTTCTTCCATGTCCATGGCTCAGGAACAGCTACTGAAGATGAAGCTCGTGTTTGAAGCCATCTGCCATGAACTTACTAGAGCAGAAAAGGGTGTGGAAAAGAGATGAGGAAAACAGGTGTGTTCTCAACATAGGTACTCCACAAACCTGTTTGTACACGGAGATAAGTTCTGAAATGGCAATTGGTTGCTACAGGGGGGTTTCCACCAATGTAAAACAGAAAGGGCTAATAAGCAGCACCCTAATGCTTCCAAAAGGGATGATCAATAAGGGCATCTTCTCAAGGGCACCACAATTGTACAGGAAGAATCTCTCTTAAGGAAAAGCCTATTTAATCTGGGGGGCATGGTACATAGCAAAACTGCACTAACAGGCTTGAGATAACGAAGACGGCTACACAGGAAAGAAACTAGAGGACAGAAAGCATGCAACAACATGCAGATGGAAGAATTATCTGTATGAGATCTCAGCAACTGAAAGTATGGTTCTCAAGTACACCTTGAGTGACAGAAGACACCATCAGTACTTGAGAAATACCTGCACTGACAGGTCTGGGACTGTAAGATAGAAAGTGGGATCTGGGCTCTCTCTTGAAAATAATTCCTCTTGATAATAGTTGCAATGCAAAGTCTTAATAAAGGTTATTGTACAGAAAAAAAAAATTGAGATTGTTCACAGTGTGACAGCAAAACAGTGTACCAGGATGGTGCTCAAACCTGACATCAGGAGGTGCTGCAACAGGATGATGGAGAAGCACAGAAGAAGCAAACTGACAGCCTGGGAGGTGGGCACAGCTCCTGTGGCAGCAGAGCACAGGCTGCAGGATGTGAGATTTTGCTGGCTGTGGAAGACATGCTCAGGAAACAGCAGGACTGGCTCCTAGTGAATGTCTCGAATGAGACAGTGTTTAAAACACCTGTGTACAATTTCACTGTCAACCTAAAAAGAAAAAGCCACTATAAATACTGCCACTATTTCTTTTCTAGTGGAGCTGATTTTCTGCAGCAGCCAGCGTAAAACACTACCACCATCCAAACACCATCACCATCATTGCTGTTATTCACCAGCACTGCTTGGACAACTGCAACAAATGCATTCAAGCACAGAATCTCAGGAAGGCAGGCTAACAGCAGGGCAGGCACAGCTGAGCATTGCACACTGGACACTTAGCTCTAAAGGTGGGCACTTGGAGACCCAGACCTACCAGCTTGAGCATGGAGGCTCCCAACACAAGGAGCAGAAAGCAGTCAGCATTGAGCTTATCATCATCTAGAAAGCCAGTATGCAAGAAGACCACTCAGTGAGTCTGATCAATATGCAAGCAGTCTGCCTTCCTTCTTATTTTGTATTACAACAGTTGCAAAAATTATGTGAAGTTCTAACAGTTGTCACGCATAACATTGTATTAAGTTGCAACAAACAAACAACCCCTCCCCCCCCCCCCCCAAACAAAAACCCACACACAAAAAAATAGGACAATCAGATACATTGACTTTTCAAGCTTAAAATTGCCGAATTTGCAGTTATTTCAATCGGTGACTCCATTTGACCTTAAGGAAAGCACTCCTCATAATTCAAGAGTATTCCTGATGAAAATCAATCTTGATAAACTGTGATCTAAATGGCAGGTCTAGAAAGGCAGAGAATTCAATTAGGAAAAAATGGCCTTTCTCATCCTCCTGTTAAGCATCAGATGCGATATAACATTCAGTGCCAGAAATTGCTGCTTTCAGATACTGGGGTGAATAACACACTTCTAGAAGGCTTCTCAAACTAAGCACTATGATCTGCAAATACCTGTTTGTATATATTGCAACCCACTTTTTGAGCAGCTGTTACCAACTGTGTGCCCTTGCTGTTAAAAAAAAAGAATGAAAACAATGTCCCAGCTCTTCTTTTTTTCCCCCCCCCAGATATATCTTAAGGTCGTATTGACCTAAACTACTTTTATTAAAATCATTTTGATTTGGCTTGCAAGGCCTTAAATCTCAAAAACACTGGCATCCTTTCTGGATTACCAGAGTTTAATTGCATCAGCAATACCACAGGAACAAAGGTGGAACACCCTCTGGAAAGCTATGCTGAAGATGAGGCCTTAGCCTTTAATGCTTAAAAGCTCTGCAGAGCTCCTCATTTAGATACTTTCACCCCATCTGGTGAAAATCATTTTGAAAACATAAAGCCATGCTTAAACGCCATTTCATTCCTGTTACGTAATGTCACTTGGCCCAGTTGAGCATCTTTAATCTGTGCAGCTGAACTAGTTTTATCGTTAAGCCAACAAGGGCTGCAACAATTACATATCTCAGGGCTACAGAACCACAGTAACACTGGGTTAGGAGCCCATTAAGCAAAGTCTCCTTCCTGAATGCAAGCTCTTATACTGTACTTCACCCACCGTGAGAAATATTTGTCTGATCTATTCTTAAAACCTCTAAGAACAGCCCATACCTTGCCTAGTCAGTCCAACACTGCTCGACTGGTTCAGAAGAATCACGGAACATTTTTTCACTGTAACCTAGATCTGCCTTGCTGTTATTTTAGCTTATGGCTCCTCACCCTACCCCCAGTGGACACGAGAGAACAAACTGTCCTTTTCTTCACAGCAGCATCCTTTCATCTATTTGAAGACTAACCACGTCTGCGGCTTTCTGTTCTCTCTGGCTCTGTAAAAGTCATGTGTTCAAAGACTGATTGTTACTTCTACCTCTTTCTCTAAATCATACAAATTTCTCTCACGTGGAGCCCAGTACCGGACACACTGTTGTAGCACAGCTCAGCATAGCAGGACGCCTGTGCCTTATTAGCAGTTTTCTTACTCACAGAGACCTTCATGGCATTCACCTCTCCAACAGCAAGCCGTTGATACTCATTCAGCTTACAGCCCACAGCAGCCCCTCCATCCTTTCCTGCAATACAATCAGCTCCACAATTATGAAGTATACAGTACTACACCTGTTACTTTTATCCATAGAGCTCCCTGTTTTGCATTCCAGTTCTCTGGCAGTGCATTCATACAAGCTCAAACTTGACCTCATCTTCAAACACTGTAATTACAAGGCCTGTTTCGTTGTGGATGAGTAATGGACTGAAGGTAGTTCCCCAGACAAGTGCTGATACCAAGTACATTTTTCCACAACTAGATCTGCAACCCTGCTAAAGCAGTACCTAGACTGGTTTTTCAGTTTATTATTAGAAAATCCTGCAAGCCAACATCAGAAGTTCCACTAAAAATCAAGGTATATGACACGTTGCCTTATCCTTATCTGCAAGTTGTTACACCGCCAGAGACGGAGATGAGATTGGCTCCATTCATTCACTACAAAGCCAACCTGGACACAGCTCACCTTGTTCCCCTGCAGTTGCTTACAAATTTTTTTCAGACCAGAAATTAAACTCACAACGAGGAGCAGCAGAGCCGTACCTCAGAGCTCATCTCCCCACGAGACACATGCCTGATTTGGCATGCTTCAGCTCACAAATCCTCATGGCCAGTAAGGTTTATAAGCAGAGTGTTACAGGAGCCAAAGCACAAGACCCCAAGAGGTCCTCACAGGGATGAGGAGCAGGGCAAGGCTCCCCATGCAGCAGGAGGGAAGGGGCAGCGCCCGGTGCAGCTCAGGAAGGCCCTTCACTCAGCCGACAGCAGCTCCTGCCTTACAGCCCCCAGCTGAACACCTCCCAAGGCCAGCATGGCTCAGCACACTCAGCAGCAGCTCCTCCACAGCTGCCCCTGAGGCACAACAGCTTCCATCGCTTCCCCTCGCACACCGTCGAAGCCCCGCACACACAACGCTCTCCCACGCCCAACACCCCAGCACCACGTGACTGCGCCAACCCCTCACCGCGCACGCGCCTCCCGCCCAACCGCCTCCTTTGTGTGAGGCGAGAGCACGGCGCGCGCGCACCCCACATTCCTCCATCCCGCCCTCCCTCCTTCCGCGCAGGCGCAGAGCGTCCTCCCGCCCCCGCAGCATGGCGCATGCGCAACCCATGGGGGGAGGCTGGCCGGCGGGCGGCGCGCAGGCGCAGTGCGCGTTTCCTGGCTCCCTTGTCAGTGCCGGGCCGCCCCCCCCACCCCTCCCCTCCGCCGCCGCCGCCGCCCGGAGCGGAGTCGCGTCGACTGCCCAGAGTCCGCGAGCCCCGCTCCGCCCCCGCCGCCTCAGGTGAGTCCCGGCCCCGAGGAGCGGCCGTCCGCCCACCCGCAGGCCCAGGTGCTGTAGGGATGGCGGCTCCCCGGCTCTCGACCGCGGCCTGCGGGCCCCTCGCCCGGCCCTGCGCTCGGCTCAGCGGGCGGGGCGGCTCCGTCCTTCAGGCAGCGCTCACCTGTGCGGGCCGGCCGGCACCGCCCGCTTCGTGCCGAGCTGCCGCCGCCCCGACGGAACGGAGCGCTGGGGGTCCGGAGGGGATGACAGCGATGGGAGGCGGCGCTCAGCCGGCTGCTCCACGGGGTGTGGAGATAGGCAGAGATTAACGGCGGCTCTCGCCCTCACTCGCTGTCTCTGATTCAGACGCATCTCCTCGCTGTTCATCCTGGGTCGCCTCGTGCTTCTCGAGAGGTGACAGCAGCTCAGGGGTGTTTGCCGTAGATGTGCTCTGAAAGCTCGGGCTGAGCGCGCTGGAGTCCTTTTTTCACCCAGCCCTTAAGTTGTATTTCGAAACTCAAAGACAGTTAGTCTGCATTTGAAAGAAAAATAAAGGAAAGAGCCACGAAGATGATCAGGAGGCTGGAGACCTCCCCTATGAAGGCAGGCTGAGGGAGCTGTGCTTGTTCAGCCTGGAGAAAAGAAGGCTGTGGGGTGACCTCATTGCAGCCTTTCAGTACCTAAAGTGAGCCTACAAACAGGAGGGGAATCAACTCTTTGAAAGTGTTGATAACTGCAGGACAAGGGGAAATGGTTTGAAGTTAAGGGAGGCAGATTTAGGTTGGATGTCAGGGGGAAATTCTTTACAGAGAGAGTGGTGAGGTGCTGGAACAGCTGCCTAGAGAGACTGTGGATGCCCCATCCCTGAATGTGTTCAAGGCCAGGTTGGATGGGGCCCTGGGTCCTAAATGTGGAGGTTGGTGGCCCTGCATGCGGCAGGGGGTTAGAGATTCGTGAGCCTTGAGGTCCCTTCCAACCCTGGCCATTCTGTGATTCTGTAACAGTTATCACAACAGTGCCTTTCCTATGTGAAGTGCTGAGGTTGGCAGACAGGAGAACACTGACGGGTTATGATGCAGTGGTTGTACCAAGTCATTCAGCTGGTCTCTGAGAAGGAATAAATCTTAATAAGATCTTACAAACAATATTTATCTCCCCAAAGGAAATAACATTGCAGTGATCAGATGAGAAATATTTGTGCTTTTTGAGATTGTCATCACTTGTTTCTTAATGAGCGTTACCAAACCCAAGCCAGCTGCTTGCTGCCAGTTGTGGCACTTGAGAAGCTCAGCAGATGAGAACGCATCACGTCCCTTGTGCAGATGCAAGCTTTGGGAAAAGCCTGTAGGTTAGTGAGCAAAAATCTCTGAACTAGGAGTTGTTAGGATGGGACAGCAGTGCTTTGCAGAGTGCCAACCTGTGGAGAGAGCATGAGGACTGTGTTAGAAAGTGTTTGGAAATAGCTGCGTTCCTTGGGCAGCAGAGATTGGATAGTTTCACATTTTATTTGGAAAGAGTCAAAAAGGCTGAGCGTTCCCTGTTGGTAGTAGAGCTCTTCAGCTTTTCCTGTATATGGAAATGCACTGCTACTGAACTGTTGGCACGTACTAAAGCAAGACTGGAAAAAGCAATTTGCAGTCATGTTTTGCTTATGTTAACGCATGGAATCTCAAACCATAGCTGTCCAAGGTCAAAGGTAGCTTGGATTGTGTCAATGTTCTCACATCAGTAAAAATAAGTAATTGTTTTTCTTAGGGCTGCATGCATGTAGTGGCTTTATTTGATCTTTAGGATAAGATTAGTAGAAGAACTAAGAAAATTATGGCAGTTAAAATTATGAACTGGACTTAAAGCTCATTTAGCCCAAGCTTCTATTTTAAGTACATTTAATGAAACTGCAAATCGTGTCTCTTTATAACAACAGGGCTTGATTTTTTTAAAGAAAAAAATCTGTCCAATTATTTGCATTGATGAAGTACTGTGTCATGCACAGAGTCCTGAGGAGAGATACTTCTTAAACTAGTGGGCTGCTACAGTTGCTCGGCTCTGAAAGGGGTTACTCAGCTCTCATTCACTCCTGAGTTTCTGTGGGACCGCCATTCATTTCCTGTTTGCTTCCAAATTCCTACCTTGTCCTGAAGTCTCCACCCTCTGCTAACATGGCCATACTTGGCTATGTTGTAATTTCAGGCTGCAATGGGTGTGGATGTCTTGGAGTGACATCA